TTTCTCCTTTTCTTTCTTTCTTTTCTTTTTGCTACAAGTTTTATAGTTTCCATTTAGTCCATAGCATGGGAGAGGGCTTCAGGGTGGTTAAAAGGCTCCCTAGCAGTTGCAGGGAGAAGTTCAGGCAAAAGCCAAACACCAGGGGGATGCAGAGGAGCCCCTCAAAGGCCTCTGGGTCCCAAAGGCACCTAGTCAAGCTTGAGGGTGAGCGTTTCGAAGAGATATTCATCCAGCCTGTGGGCCAACCAGCCTGCAAAGGTTAGTCAGGTTTCATGTTCTTATCCAGGAAATGGTTCTTCAAGAAGTCACATAGACGAGGGTCTGTACAGTAGAACCCAGGGCAAGCAGATCCAAAAGGGCCTGGTTCAGGTTCTGCAGGACCATGGCAGCTCCCATGGTGTCCTGAGTTTTACCCCACTCATCTTGGGAAGGTTTCTGCATGTCCTGGAAGAGGGTGCGGCCCCCACATGGTTTTGCATCAAGAGACACCAGGTTCCCTCTCACTCCTCCTCCATCAACTGGCAGAAAATAATGGGCCATGTTCTCCAGAGCCACATCATTGTTGTCAAAACAGAAGCCCAAAAGAGGTGGGTATAGGAGGCCTGCAGATGCAGTTGACCAGGCAGTTGATGGTGGTCTCCACCTCAGCAGAACAACTCTGATGAATTTGGGAGCTCATGGTTGCTCAGCAATAAGGAGTTAAGCTCAAAAATGGTGTTGGCTGGTCTGGGAAGCCAAGGGTGGCTGAGATGATTCCAAAGGTGGTGACTGGAAGAGGTTGGTGGGTGGTCAGAAACTGGAAGAATGGGCATTCCTGGGTCTGTTCCACCCAAATACTGTTGAAGCTAGCAAAGATGCAGGGGACTAAGCAGGGCAATGGAAAACCATAATTTCTCCTTCTAAATTAACCATAGGTCAATACTATTCTTTTTTTTGCAAAAAAAAAAAAATGATGAATATATCACTTAACTTTCAAATACCTTATTTATTCAGAGAATACTGCTTGTTGGTGGCTTATGTAAGTCACAAGAAATCTATAGCAATATATATGTATATATATACACACACATATGTATATTTCTTGTTACAAGCATAAAACACTAATGTATAGTCAAAATATTTTTGTCATCTGCAAAATATCTAGTAATAGCTGTTTTATAACAGCTTTTTACATAAATATTCTGAAGTAAAACTGGCAAACTGAACACATGAGTAAGTTTATCTCCACACCCTACTAAAACCTTACCAAAAAGAAATTTATGGGGGAGAAAAGACTGACATACACAGGGATGATAATAATGAGGAGGGCAATATCACCACTGTATAAGAAAACAAAAACCAAATGGATGAATAAACAGTAACCAATTGAGTAGAGGAAGACAAACCCTGTGCCTAGTAGCCAAGACATCACTAAACAAACTAATCTCTTCCAAAGTAAACTAATTTCTGACCAAAAAAAAAAAAAAATCAGGAAGAGCTCCAAACAGAAAGCACCTATTATCTCTGAAAGCCAGGCTAAAACTAAAAACAGAGAAACTGTCAATAAGGAACATGCAGATGCCTAAATTCCCTTCTCATGTTTGCAGGAAACATGAGGTAACTCTGGAGAGGCTAAACCAGAAGGGCCCCCAAACTAGTGGACATGGAGTCCAGCTTGGGAGCAAGTATCAGGGGCTCTACTTAAAACTGAGATTTACATATAAGCCTGAAAAAGAAAAAGTTAAGACCTCCAGTCTTCCCCTTGATCTATACCAGAATACTAGCTATTGCCATGCCAGAGCTGGGAAGATTTCTCTCAAATACAAAATAAAAACACATAGACATTTGGTTTTGTTGAGGGAACACCTGGGAGTTCCTCCAACAAAAAAGCCTGATCACATCATTCCCCTTGAGGTCACCCTGACCTGTCCACACAAACAAAGCTTCCAAATGGATTTTAAATGCCACACTCATGAGTATGAAAACAGCATAGGGTCACTAGATGGTTGAAGAAATTGGCTAACATGTATTAGGGTTTGAAAGAAACAAAAAATAAAGACAGCAAAAAGAGAAACAGCAGATAACAAATTTTAAACAATAATATCCTAAGAGATAAGCCAAAATACATATTAAGTTCGTAAATTAAGAACAGGATATCACTTTTTAATATTAATCACAGATTAATCTCTAGAAATTAAAACTATGAAAACCATAATTATAAATTCATCAAAATTAGAAGGCTTAGAAGATAACATTGAAGAAACTTCCAAGACTGTAGAGCAAAAGACAGAAATTTTTTAAAGGAGAAAAATCATTTTTGAAAAAGAAACAAAGGATTGGAGCACAATACAACATTTAATTCATAGAAATTAGAAAAATAAAGTTGAGGAAGGATAGGGGAAGAGGTTAGTACACTATTTTTTTTTATTTCACCAAAACTGAAAAATATGAATTTCCAGACTGAAATTACAAAATGAGTACTCAGAATACTGAACAAAAAGGACCCATCCCGCTTTGGCAAGTGTGGCTTGATGGTTAGAGCATCAGACAATGCACCGAAGGGTCGTCAAGGGTTTGATTCCCAGGCAAGGGCACCTATCTGGGTTGCAGGTTTGATCCCCGGTCCCAGTAGGGGTGTGTTTGGGAGGCAACAAATCAATATGTCTCTTTCGTATCAATGTTTCTCTCTATTTCTCTTCCCCCACCTTCCCTCCCTTCCACTCTCTCTAAAAATCAACAGAAAAATATCCTCGTGTGATGATTAACCCAACAAAAAACACAAACATCCAACCCAAGATGCTTCATTGTGATAAGAACGTGAAATTAACACCTTACTTTCAAAGAGGAAAATCACACCACAAAAAGCTGGGAATCAAAATGACAAAGGATTGCACAATAGCAAGGCTGGAAATTAAAAAATAAAAACAATTTCTTCAAAAACCTAAGAGAAAATTATTTCCAGTCTTGCATATACCAAATGAGGCAATGAAATAAGAAAGAAAAAGTATGAGATTCAGGAAACATAATGTGATTTTGGAGAGAGAAAAAGGGAATCCAACATGATGATGGGGTCAAGAGCAGCTATGACAATGACACAGCAGGCCAAGTGAGCACCACTCTATACTTAAAGGTGCCAGGTGGGGTGTCTCCAAGAAAAACAAAATTGCCCTAGCTAATGTGGCTCATTTGGTTGGTGCACCAAGGAGTCTTGAGCTGGATTCCAGTCAGGGCACATGTACAGGTTGCAGGTTCAATCCCAGTCAAGGTGGGTGTGGGAGGCAACGGATGGATGTTTCTCTCTCACCTCAGTGTTTCTCCCTCTCTCCTCTCTGTCTCTCTCTAAAATCAATAGAAACATATCCTCGGGTGATGATTTAAAAAAATGAACTAGTAGAAGACCCAATTTATTTGCTTGAATACAAATTCCACAGTAAGTTCCACTGGGAAGGTGTTAAGGCAGAATGAGTGATGAGGGCTGTGATTATTAGAACTCTCACACTCCCTGCTATCCTTCACACATATAGTTCTCTCCCCTCCAGCTTCCCTATATTGAACTTTCAGTACATAAATACTCATTTTGAATATAATATAATTAACAGCTGATCCTTACTATTTACTTGATATGATACATAATCATTTCTCTTTTATACAACTTGTTTTCCTTGGAGTTAATGATTTCTCATTTTATCATTTCATTATTTAAATTATATTTATAGATTACACTGACAAAAAATAAAATTTTAACTTAAAAATTAAGTAGTAGTGTATGTTTTAAATATTTGCCTTTCTATCCGTAAATGTAGCTATAATTTTAGACACATAAAACATACATATATACATATTTACAACCTCATTTTTCACTTTTTTCGGCCATTACATTTACTCACTATCAAACATTAGTCTTGACATCAATTTCTAATTACTTAAGAACACAAGAATATATGATAATTTATTTACATACATTCTTCCGTGTTGGACATAAGATATTTTCAAACTGTTTTATATTCTTAATGTGCATGGAGCGCCCTTCTATACAAATCTTTGTATTTCTAATGACAAGTTCCTAGAAGCAGAATAACTGTAAGGCTCTTGATCTATACTACTTGGCTATCCTCCAAAATTTCTGCCAATTTATACTTGTACCTACAATACATGATGTTCAGTTTACCAAACACCTACCAGTAATATTTTTTAACTCTTTCACAAATTAAGAGAGAACAAATATAACATGTACTTATTCTAATATAAATGTCTCTCTTAGTTAGATTACCTACTTATGACTTTTGACCATTTTTCTGTTGGGGTATTACATGTATTTGTGTGGTTTTTAATTTGGTCAATCTTTTCATAGATTAAGGATATGTATCCTTTTGTCATATTTATGATGTGTTTTTTCAATCTTAAGTCTCATATAATCACTTTTGTTTTTCCTTCTCTTGTGCTTGGTATGTGGAAAGGCCATACAAAGATCATAAATAATGATCTATGTTTTCTCTCTCTCTGAGGGGGTGGTATTATGGCTTTAATGTTAGTAATTATTTTAAGTAACCTAAAAGAAATCCTTTAACAATACTTCTATAAAAACACAGGGCCCTGGCCGGTGTGGCTCAGATGGTTGAGCACAGTCCTGTGCACCAAAAGGTTGCTGGTTCGATTCCTGGTCAGGGCACATGCCCAGCATGCAGGCTCAATCCCCAGTAGGGGGCAAGCAGGAGGCAGCCCAATCAATGTTTGGTTCTCACATCAATGTTTCTCTTTCTCTCACCTTCTCCCTTACTCTCTCTCTCAAAATTAACAAAACTATATATATATATTTTTTAATGAAGAAAGAAAGCAATGCAGGGAACTCAGGAATATAAACATGGCTTAAAAGCAAATAACTTTGTATGTGTCTTTTAACTAGAAATATTTCAACATATAAGCTTTCTTCCTTAAATATCAGTACTATCTGGATCAAAAGCAGTGTAACACTCTGAGGTATATATGCTAATATAGCTTAATTTTGAAAAGTTTTTACTCACTTGTGGTCATGATGTTAGGAGGGCAAGAGGGTATTCCATGATCTACTGCCCATCTGTAGGCTCCTTCTCCAACTAAAAAGCTAACAACAGAAAAATTATTCTTTTAAAAATTCCCAGTGTCATCTTCTCCTACATATTCAATAAAGTAATATAGTAAGGCAATTGAAAAAAATCTTTGCATATAGATATAATTCTAGATTTCTTCAAAATAATAATATGGATATATGCCAAAAAAAATTATTCAAAATTTTTCCCAACTTAGAAATTTTACATTTGGAAATGTTACCATTTCATTTGCCATTGCTAATAAGTAAAATCCAACATAACAAGTAAAAAAGTTGATTTCCCAAAGGAGAACATTAAGATTTATCTTGGATCAATATGGTTCTCAGTTTACATCACAAGATCTATTTAATCTAATTAAGAGTTGAAGTTTAAATGAATGTCTTCAGATATGGTATTCTTGCCTAGCATAACACCTGGCATAACTCAACAAAAGTGGGTATACTTAAAAATGCCCCAAAACAATGAGATGTGCTTACATTTCTAAGCCTTGATGCAACAAAAATATACACCTGACCCTCAGAATCATTTGTACTGTGGTAAGTAAAGTATTCTTGATGTCCCTAAAGTAATTTTTAAGCCCCAAATTGCACATTTAACATAATAAAGTAAATAAAAGAATACTGTTAGCCAGCTATAAAAGACTTATTTTCAAAGGTTTCAAATTGCATGCAGGATAATTAACCACCTCATTTTCTAACACATAATAGCAAGCAGTTACCATTACAATCAGTCACTTCATCTCCTTCCATAGCCAACTTCTTAAAGATCTCAGCCAGCTAGTAATGGATTCCTTGAACAAGTGCCTACTCATTAGTTTCCTGTTCCTTATTTTTTGTTTCTATTCTTCTAATCATTCCAACACTAAAAACTCAAAGCAATACATATTGAAGTCTTTAGATTTGATTGTTAATAAGAAGATCAGTGACAGACTGGCAAAACAAAATCTACGTAGACACTCAGAAACATATTCAAATGATTCCAATGAAAAACTAAACAGTTAAGCCTAATAACTGTTTTCCATTGTGCATAAAGGTGGGGATGGAGGAGGCATTGAAAAAAGAGAGGAGAGAGGGCCAACAAGAATAAACAACTGTACCTCTTCAAACTTCCATTTTTAAAAAAGTCTAAAGGATACTGAAAATACAAACAGTTTCTCCTATTCTGGTATCAAATGAAAAACACAGCAAAAAAAATTACAAAGAAAAGCAGCCACATAAAGTTCAAATGGAAAAATAATTGAAATAGAAACTTGGATATGAGTTGAACTGTCCTGATGGCATTTTTAGTACTTCCTTCTTCTCAGAACAGAATTTGATTTAAGAAATGAATTCTCGAGGAACCGAAAAATGGTGGCAGAGTGAACGGAGCTACACAGACCGTCTCTCAGAACCAAACTGGAATTACAACTATAACACAGACAAACCGACGGGAAAACCCAACAGAAAAGCAGCTTGCGAGGACCATACAACGAGGGACACTGACTCCATCCCGGTAGGCTTGCCAAAGCGCAAAACGAGCCCACCCACGGTCTGCAGCTGGGCAGCGGCCTTAGTTGGGAGCAGTGCCCTCGGGTTACACTCCCAAGCAGCTCCACAGTGCAGAGCCGGGACAGAGGCTGAAACAGCCACAGCCACTCACCTTGGGCTCCGGCAGAGAAAGGGCAGACTGGACTGGAACTGTGTCGGGACACTCAGGGTTTGGAGGGCGCTCAGAGCTTTGGCTGACTGCAGCCACTCAGGAAGGTGGCCACATTGCTCCTTCCCAGGGCTCTGAGGAGAGGCAGCAGCCCCTCCCTCAGAGATCCAACCCCACCCTGTGGGCCATTGAAGTGTTAATTGAGGCTCACTAACAACCAGCATCTGCCCCACCCTGGTGAAAGCCCCCTGGCTGAGCACCAGAGGGAGTTTTTCAATCAACTGAAAACCCAAAACTCATCAATTAACCTAGACTGCTAGCCTCTAGGCAAAAAGCTAGAGGATAACAGTACCTTTCCTGGGATGGCAACTTTAACCAGGAAAGTAAGACTTCACAGTGGTGTTCAACGTGGGTCCTCCCTCGCTCATCTAAACCCAGAAGAGGGAGCCATAAACAGCAGAACACCAACACCCACAGGGAGAACTTGACAGGCTCCAAAGCCCACAGTGATAGCCAAAATTGTGAAACACAGAAACATAAGCCAAATGAAAGAGCAAGACACCTCCACCGAAGATGAGATCAATGTGAAGCAATTAGGCATGTTAACAGAGCTAGAATTCAGAGCCATGATCTTGAGGAAGCTGAACAGCATGAGTAAGGACATAGAGACACTGAAAATAAGCCAATTGGAAATTAAAAACCAACAAGAAGAGATAAAAAATGACATATCAGAAATGAAAAACACATTGGAAGGTTTAAAAAGCAGAGTAGGGGAAGCTGAGGACCGGATCAGTGAATTAGAAGACAGGGTAGAAAAAATCAACCAATCAGAAAAACAAAAGGAAAAAACTATTAAAAAATAGGAAGACAGCTTAAGAGAACTATGGGACAACTGGAAACGTAATAATATTCGCATCATAGGAGTCCCCGAAGAAGAAGAAAATGAGCAAGGTATAGAGAATATATTCAAAAAAACAGTGAGAGAAAACTTCCCTAATTGGTGAAGGAAGAAGGCATTCAAGTTCAAGAAGCACAGAGAGTCCCAAGTAAGAAGAACCCAAACAGGCCCACACCAAGACACATAGTAATTAAAATGCCACAAATTAAAGACAAAGAGAGAATCCTAAAAGCAGCAAGAGATAAGCAACAGGTTACCTACAAAGGGAACCCCATAAGGCTCTCCGCTGACTTCTCACAAGAAACACTACAGGCCAGAAGAGAATGGAATGAAGTAATCAAATTCATGAAAAACAAGAATCTGAATCCAAGACTAATCTACCCAGCAAGGCTATCATTCAAAATAGAAGATCAAATAAAGAACTTCCCAGACAAAAAAAGGCTAAGGGAATACATTAGCACCAAACCAGCACTGCAAGAAATGTTAAAAGGACTGCTGTAATTAGCAGTAGAAATGGGAAGAAAAATAGAACCACACTAAACAAAAATGGCAATAAATAAGTACATATCAATAATCACCTTAAACGTAAATGGATTGAATGCTCCCATAAAGAGACACAGAGTAGCTGATTGGATAAGAAAGCATGACTCATCTATATGTTGTTTACAAGAGACCCACCTCTCAACAAAAGACTCACATAGGTTGAAAGTGAAGGGATGGAAAAAAATTTTCCAAGCAAATGGAAAGCAAAAAAAAAGCTGGGGTAGCAATTCTCATATCTGATAAAATACATTTCAAAATGAAGACCATAACTAGAGACAAAGACGGCCACTACATAATATTGAAAGGATCTATCCAACAGGAAGATATAACTTTGATAAACATATATGCACCCAATATAGGAGCACCAAAATATATTAAAAATCTTCTGGAGGACTTCTAAGGAAAAATCGACAACAATACAATCATAGCTGGGGACTTCAACACCCCATTGACAGCACTGGATAGATCCTCTAGGCAAAAAATTAGCAAGAAAACAGAGACTCTAAATGAAGCACTAGACCAAATGGATTTAATAGATATCTACAGAGAATTACACCCCAAAACTACAGAATACACATTCTTCTCAAGTGCACATGGGACATTCTCAAAGATAGACCACATGATAGGACACAAACTAAATCTCTACAAGTTCAAGAAGATTGAAATCATATCAAGCATCTTCTCAGATCACAATGGCATGAAACTAGAAATCAATTGCAACAAGAACATGCAAAGACATTTCAACACATGGAGGCTAAATAGCATGTTATTAAACAATGAATGGGTCACCGAGGAGATCAAGGAAGAAATTAAAAACTTCCTGGAAACCAATGAAAATGAACACACAACAACACAAAATCTATGGGATGTAGCGAAAGCAGTTCTGAGAGGGAAGTTCATAGCACTACAGGCCTACCTCAAAAAACAAGAAAAATTTCTAATTAACTGTCTAACCTCACAACTTAAAGAATTAGAAAGCAAACAGAAGAAAACCCCAGAGCAAGTAGAAGGAAAGAAATAGTAAAGATCAGAGCAGAAATAAATGACATAGAGACCAAAAAACAATTCAAAGGATCAATGAAACAAAGAGCTGGTTTTTCGAAAAGATAAACAAGATTGATGGACCCTTAGCTAGACTCACCAAGAAACAAAGAGAGAGAACCCAAATACACAAAATCAGAAATGAAAGAGGAGAAGTAACAACCAACACCACGGAAATACAAAAGATCGTTAACAACTATGAACAACTATATGGCAACAAATTCGACAATCTAAGCGAAATGGACAAATTTCTAGAAACACACAGTCTCCCAAAACTATTCCCGGAAGAGATAGAAAACTTGAACAGACCAATAACAACTAAGGAAATTGAAGAGGTAATCAAGACTCTCCCAGCAAACAAAAGCCCAGGCCCAGATGGTTTCACGGGGGAGTTTTACCAAACATTCAAAAAAGAACTAACACCCATTCTCCTCAAACTATTTCAAAAAATTCAAGAAGAAGGAAGACTTCCAAACATGTTCTATGAGGCCAGCATAATTCTAATTCCAAAACCAGAAAAAGACACTACGAAGAAAGAAAACTACAGGCTAATATCCCTGATGAACATAGACGCCAAAATCCTGAACAAAATATTAGCAAATCGGATCCAGAAATACATCAAAAAAATTATTCACCATGACCAAGTGGGATTCGTTCCAGGGATGCAAGGCTGGTACAATATTCGCAAATCAATAAACATGATACACCACATAAACAAAATGAACAATAAAAACCACATGATCATATCAATAGATGCTGAAAAAGCATTCGACAAAATCCAGCATCCATTTCTGATAAAAACGCTCAGCAATGTAGGAATAGAGGGATCATATCTCGACATAATAAAGGCCATATATGAAAGACCTACAGCCAACATCATACTCAATGGACAGAAAC